CCTGATGTGTGCAGACTGAGGGATACCCTGGGACTCCCAAACCTGCAGCTCTAAATGGGTTCTGCCATCTGCCACACAAAGGCAAAGCCGACTCTTAGTGTGAAAGAACTTTACTAGGAAGTGTGGATGGAAAGAGAAGAGAAGAGAAGAAAGGATAAAACACCTGAAGTTATCCACCCCCTTACTGATAAATGCCCAGTCAAACAAGGTTTGCCCCGAGGAGGGCCACTGAGGCCTGAGAGCCTACCTCAAGTCTTAGGCACCTTCTGGCAGGGAACTACAGAAAAGGGGCAGAAAGGACCAGGCAAGTCGGAGATGAAAGCAGTAAACTCAAAGTAAAAATCAAGGTAACAGTTGCCATTGTCAGCCTCCCTACAGGTCTCTCCCCCATGTCTTTTCCAAGTGTCTCTATGTTTTGACTCCACATGTCTCTTTCCATGTCACCCAAGTCCGCAGTGCAAGTTCAAAGCCAACAGGCAAATGGGCCTCTTCACATGTCTCTGTGCTCTACGTGCCCCCTCCTGTGTCTTCTCTAGCTTCTCTCTTTTTCTTCCTGTTCAGCTCCACCCTTCATTAAGTGGAAATTAAATGAATTTTTTTGAAATTATACTCTAACATTATTGTAAAATCTTTTCATTTGCTCAAATTCTAGAAAGTCAGGACCCTCAATGATGGAAGACTAACTTTAGATGCTATTTAGCTCTGGTAGAGGGACTAGATGCTAAGAAAGGCAAGTTTTAGCTCTGACCTTCCTATAGCTCGTCTTTTTTACTCCTCCAGATTTGGGGTTCAGCAATTTCTCCACTTAGTTTCTGTCTGCTCTCTGCAGAAGAATTTCAAGTCTGAAATTTTGTCCTATTTTATCTAAATGGTTCTATTTGTTTTTAAAATTTTGAGGATAAATTTACCCTTTCCTGGTTTTAGCACCGGTAGCATTATTTTTCCACTGTTCTCACTTTTTGTTCGTTTGTTCTGCTTTAGGGGGTAGAATCTGTAAAATCTTTACCTATGTACCCCAAGTTCTGGTTTATCTTTTGCAATGCAGATTTCATTTCCTGCTTCTTCTTCTTTTTATTATTATTGGTTTTTATTATTTTTTTTCTGACTTACCCACTGTCTCCATTTAAGTTCATTATTCCTTTTTTTTCTGATTCTTGTTTTTGGTTAATGTAGACTCCCCTGACCTCATTTTTCTAAAATTTCCCCCTTTTATATAGTACACCAATTTCTTAAGCAAATATTTGCTCAGTATTCTAGAGATCTCCCTTCTCTTGAACCATCATATTTTTCATTTCCCTGCTGGATTTGGGTTTTTCTCTATTGCTTATCCTTAGTGACGATAGTCTATGCATATTTAACATTGGGTATTTCCCTGTGTTCTTTTAAAAGTCTAAAATGGGGCACTGAAGTCTATCTAGAGAAAGGAAGAGGTTAGATTTATAGTAGATTAATTTGTTGATTAGAAATTCATCTTCCTTTGAGACCTAGGGAAGGAGGAAGCACCGGCTTCAGAAGTAAGGAAAGTTTGCCTCAGAACCAGAGCCTTTTTATAAGTATCTCTTGGGACTTAGTAATGAGAGGACCACTGTTACTTGGCATGGCTGCCCATATCAGAAGGCAGCTGGTAGTGTTGTATTTTTTACCCCCACATATTTTCTGGGTCAGTCATCATGGCCACATATAAATTACAAGTAAATATAGCTAGAGATTACTGGCTCATTTGGTCTCTGGAGCCAGGAACCCCTTTCTAGGAGTGTGTGTATTTTAAATGTACTCCAACTCTGCCTGGATTAGTTCCCTCCAACCCTCATTCCACTGAACTGGATTAGCATTATGAATCTGTTGAGTTCTCATTTGCTTATTTTCTGTTGTTGCAGTTACAGATACACATGAAGGAATGCCTTGCCTTAATCCTCTGTTAACCTCCCATATTGATTCTTTCCAGTATAAATTTCCAGAAACTTAAGCAATAACTAGGGTCCCTCTGTGTCTTCCAGACTGATTCAGGCTGTTTTCTATTTTCTATCCAATTGGTTATTTCTGTGGTAATCTGGCACATATGTGTCTATGTAGCCCTTCTTATCTGTAAGTTGTAAATTGTATTTTGTTTATCTGTTTTGAATTGTAGGAAGGATATTGAGGTGATTCATGCCCAGTGACTGTAGGGAATAGATGAAAGGACAAGTAAATAAATAACAAATTTAATCTTTTGCTGTTGAGAGATATTAGAGGTAGTTTTCTGGTTTTGAGAAGAATGATAGCAATTAAGAGAGATGCTTAGATGGAGATAAGTAAGGAAAGAAGAGAAAGGGCAATAGTATGATCCAAGGGTAGTTGGGGTCAGTGGGGCTAACCCACCCCACTCTGGTTTTCTGTAGCTGGGAGACAGTCTTGGAACTCAAGCAAAGGAAATAGTTGATGACAGGCTGGAAAAACAGCAGAACAGGTTCCCAATACTTGGAAAAGTTCAAAGAAGGAAGTGTTTCTTTAAAAGTTCTATGCAACTCTGAGATTGACAGCCTGGACCTCTGGGAAAGCAGGAACCTAGGGTGTTACTTGGCTAGAGATTGGACAGCATTGTGCCTTCTTTAAAATTGGGTTTAGTCCCCTCAGGATTTATGCAGTTTTGACAATAAGTAGGGAAGTAAATTGTTTTCATAAATCTGATTTTATGATATCACTCCTGAGAGAGTTGATTATGCCTTTTAAGTTAGTGTTGCTCAGTCCTTGTATTTTCAGAGTTAAGTAAACTTATGCTATTTTATAAAGGGCTCTTCCATAAGAATAGGTATAACAAAAGCTCCAGAACTAGAAGTATCTGGAATGTTTTAGAGGAAGGTGGTTAATTTTCTGCCTTTTCTTCATGAAAATATGAAGCTAGTGATCCGTCTTACCTATTACATATCTTGAGACTATGTAACATGAATCTCAGGACACATTACTAAAGGTTTATATAAATGAAGGAAGCACAAGGCTCTCTTTCAGAATTGGAGGAAACTGGATATTGGACAGGATATTTGACTTTCATCCTGATTTCTTCAGGACTGTCTGAGACTTTTGCTTGAAAAGATGCCAAACACTTTATGTCTTTTTAAGTTTCATTCACCTGGAGGCTTAGTGTTTGGAAAGAGGATGGAACCCAGCGTGGGCTCCTGGTTCAGGTATCATTTCCTGGCTGTGTGACTTTAGCTATGTTGCACAATCTTTCAGAGCCTTAGATTTCTCACCCTTGAAATCAGTTAATGCTATCTGCCCCAGACTATCAATATATGAAACTGTATAGTGCTCTGGTGCTCAGCATCTAGTAGGCTTTCATTAAGTCCCATTTCCCGCCTTGCCCCCTTGTGTTATCCTAGAGGCCATCTGGCGGATTGCCACAACCATATCTTGTCTCCCATACCATACTACAGGCTCGGTGCCCAGTATTTACCTTTTGGGCAGCTCTGTGTACTCTGACTATTGGAAGCAGTTTAAGGTTATATTGTTTAATGTCTTTGCTTGGCAGAAAATATATTGGACCTGAGAACACAGTGTATGAGTCTTAGGCTTGCCTGCTTATTTCATTTTTGGGTTATCGTGCTATTTATATATTCATCTGTCCAGCCCACATGCGATAGAACAAGGTAATGTGAATTATAAGTACATGAAAAGCAAAGAGGAAGAATAAAAGTAGAAGTAGACATAAAATGCCTCTAGGAATAAGTTGGGTTTAAAACAGTGAACTGTGGGTTCGCTCATTTCCTCAGGGAAGGCTGGTCACCCTATCAGCCATCAAGAAAGAGGACGGGCACCCCTGTACACAGACACCTCACTTCTGGGCTCTTCATTTGAGTTGACAGTGTGATAAACAGCAGCTCTCCTCTCCATCCAAAGTCCCTGCCACCCCCCACCCTGACCAGGCCAAAAAAATAAAAAGTGTGTGTGTGTGTGTGTGTGTGTGTGTGTGTACTGGGACTAAGAAGAATGTCAGTGTTGTCTCAGGGCAGCCATGGAATTTTGTGTTGAATGTCATACCAAAATAGTTTGACAACTTTTCTTCTTATTTGTTGATAAAAATAGACACTGAAGGAAGAACATAAGAAGGTGCTATGATTCTAAATAATCAGAACCTCAATGATCAATGGAAACTCTAAGATGAAGGATAAATATCAGAAGACAGAATAAAAATCAGAATTTGTAGTTTGTAGAAATTGTTGTCAAACATTGCCTGTTTCTTAGGAAGACAGCTTTTCTGAGAGTATGTGGCTCACCCAGCACCCTCAGTTAATTTTGAGCAGTGTGGTAAGATTTGGGATCAAAGGACTGGGACGGAACATCTAATTCCATTGTTGCTGCTGCTCAAGATTTGTATCTGGTGATCTCTGGTTCATCACATTCACTATTATGAAAAGTAGCATTTTCTAGTGGCTTAAAAGTGTTCAGGTACTGTCTTGCATACGTGAAAACTAGGTAGTATATCTACAGGAAGAAAGGTGTATCTAAAGTGGCCAGGAGGCAGGCATTGGCTCAGTCACTGTAGATGCTCAGCTAATACATTTTGAATGAGGATAGTGAAAAATTTTCTTAACATGAAATTTCTAAAATGAAAAAAATTCCCCTTTTAAACTAACTTGCAATGTGGAAACACTCACATCAGTCTTTTGATGAAACTTGGGACATGGTTTACGACAAGTAATTTCGTGTCTTTTTGGGTTTTCTTAATAAGCAATAATGGAAGATTTGGTTATACATTTGCTTATCTGGCACCTTCTCTTTAAGATATTTAGAAGGATTTTAGAAATGCATTCTTCCTTACACATGTGGAAGTCTGACACTGTTATTTTTGGGGGGTATCTTGCCTTTCTTGAATCTTGAAAGTGCTAACTAGGTTCCCTGGGTAACTGTAAACATGGGCCATATTTATTTTCTTATGTTTCATACTGGTCTGGGAATTTGTTGTTGCTGTAGTCCTGGTTCTGATTAATGAAATGTGTGACTCTTCCCTTTTCTTCTTGCCTCAGATCCTTCATCTGCAAACGGGCAGACTTGAACTGGATGATTTGAAGATGGTATTTCTCTCTTGCCTTTTCCATAAAAACTGTCAGTTCTCAATTGTGGGCTGTTCAGTTCTTTTATTGTTTAATGACAGATGGCTTCTTCCCCTGGTACACACTCACCATTTTTACAGCTTCAAACTGCCTCCTCAGAACATATAGCAGCATTGAATTTAACTTTATGTATATATCCCACTTTATGAACTTCCTGTGATTTGGATACTGATACAGAAGTCCTGGCTTTGAGCTGTTAGATGCCTTATCTACCAAGTTCCTCTCTCATTAAGCTCGTGATTGGTATTTGGGATAGGGATGTGCTTCCATAGGCTGATCCTCCTAGGCTAAATGTGGTGTTCCTGTTCTCTTGCAGGTACGCCATTTCTCCTAGCATGACAGCCGTCTGATTAGCAACCACAAGAATTTGACTCCTGTGTCTGGAGCTGTGTCTGGAGCTGGGGTCTAGTCACTGCCCGCAACTGCCGAGCTGCCATGGCCTCCACCTCTCCTTCCACCCCAGTAATTTCACAGCCCCAGGTAAGTGATTGAATCTGGCACAGGTTTCAGCTAATCGCAGTTTTGTCGAATAATTAAATGGATTTTTAGGAAGTGCATTTGACCTTAAGGATCATGTGTATCTTTCTAATTATCATTTGGTGGGTTTTTGGATAGTAGTTCTTTGTAAGGGAGGCGCTATTTAGTTCAAAAGCAGCTTCCACGATGAACAAGTGATTTTAGTGAACTGGCCTCTGTTTGCAGAGTCTTGGTTTTCAGGGCTTAGGACGTCTGACTGCTCTGTTGACATCAAACTTCATATCTAAGCAGTCAGTAGAAAATCCTGCTGTTTCCCTCTCTTTGCTTTCTTGGATTTAGTGAAATATCTCAGAACAGATCTGAATGCTCCCTCATTGTCCTCCCTCTATAATGATTTTGTTACTTTGACCTATCTAAGAACTTTGAAAAGAAAATATAATTCTAGACATTGCTGAGCAACAGTAATACAAGTTACTTTTTCTATCCAATGAAGGACAGTAATATGACAGGAACATTGTATTTGTGCAAATCATTTTACGGTCTGATCTACTCGAGTATTAACAAAACTCTTTCGGTTTCAGCCGGCAGTGAGGTCCTATAGGAAATGGACTTTGGAGTCAGTAGGTCTGAATTCACATTCTCGACTGCTGGATAAGGAGGCTTAGTCATGTTAACCCTCTGAGCTTCAGTTTTTCTCACATAATCACACCTCATAGATGGCTATATAGATTAAATGATAGAATACTTGGTAAGGTGTGTACCCCATAGGGTTCTCATTTGCTGCTTTTTCACCTCCTCTTCCTCTTAGTCTGTGACCTCCCATCTCATTCATGACTATCATTTTGGGCCAAGGTTCAAGAAAAAGTCTACAAGAGAGAGCATGTGATTGAAATTTGAATATTGATGATAGAGAATGTTGTTCCACATTTTTCCCCTGGTAACATTGTGCCGGCTACTGAATTTTGTAATTATTTCAAGTAAGAGTGTAAGTGTGTCAAATGTGGAAAGGAAGAAGGAGGGGAGAGAGGAAGTTGGGGCATTTTTACGTCATTTACTATAAATGCTTTTTCCTCTGCTAAAAGACCTTGGAATTTTATCATATGGATAAAGTCCTCGCAGCTTCTTAAAATTTAAAAACTGTTTGCATCATTTTCCAGTATGTTTTGTATTCCCACCATGACATACATTTCTCTTGGTAAATGGATCATTTCATTTGCTTTAGGTGTTTGGTTTCGGTTCCCCCTCAGTCTACTTTTTGATGCCTGAGAGATTTGGTGAGTGGGCAAGGTAATTTAGTGCTTGCTACCTGAGGTCAGCATTTTCAAGTCCACGATAGTTGCTGAGTTCGGCTCTAGTACTGGCTTTCTGGCTGGGGCATTTCAACATCCCAGTCTTGCTGCTGTCATTTGTCAGCATTTCTTACAATATCATCTTGCCTATACTTCTTCTCTTGACACATGCGACTATCACCTGGTGAGTAATATAAAAAATTCTTTTCTGTCATTACCATCAATTCTCATGTATAAATAAGAGAAGCAAGTCACCCCAGACATAGGAAAGCACTAAGGTCACTATTCATGGAGGTTGACCATAGGTGGGCATTTCTTTTATAACCCCCTGAACCCATTTCTCCCACCCCAACCCTTGCCTCTGTTAATTACCAATCTAGTGTCTGTGTCTGTGAGGTTGGTTTGTTTACTTAGTTTTAGATTCCACATATAAGGGAGATAATATAATAATTGTTTTTCTTACATTTATTTAAAATAATGCTATTGAGGCTCATCCATGTGGTTGCAAATTACAAAATTTTATTCTTTTATGATGAATTGTGTGTGTGTGTGTGTGTGTGTCTACCCACTCATTCATCAATGGACGGACACTTGTTTGTTTCCATATCTTGTCTATTGTAAATGATGCTTTAATGAACATAGGGGTGCACATATATTTTCAAGTTCATGGTCATTTTCTAGTTACGAATGCTCACAAGTGGAATTGCTGTATCATATAGTAGTTCAATTTTTAAGTTTTTGAGCAAACTCCATGCTGTATTCTGTCAAGGCCATTTTACTTTCCTATCAGCAGTGCCTTTTCTCCACATCCTTGCCAACACTTGACAGTTCTTATCTTTTTGAGAATAGCTATTTTAACAGATGTGAGCTATTTTAATAGCACATAGAAGGGTTGATTTGCATTTCCCTGATGATTAGTGATGTTGGGCATTTTTGCATATACCTGTTGATGATCTTTCTGTCTTCCCTGGGAAAATGTCTAGTCAGATCTTTTGCCCATTTTTTTTAATTGGAGTGCTTGTATAAATATGTTTAAATGACTCATTTAATTAAAATGTTTAATACTGCCCAAGGTAGAAAGAGGTCATACTTAAACATAAACACTCAGGGAAATATGTACTCTTGTAAATTCTCTGTGGGTAAGTAAATTAGTGCAGTCACTCTGTGGGGCAATTGAACAGTATCTATTAAAGTTACATACCTTTGCATAAATCCTATTCCCATCTTAGTATCAAACCTTAGAAAAATACTTGCAATGAGCCCAAGGAGGCATACATAAAGATATTCATTGGACCATTAGTTGAAGACCAAGAAGTACAGCATTTTCTGACTATCTAATAGTGGAAGAACTTAGTCAAATCATTGATTTGACTTACATTCCATGCAGAAGTTAAAAAATTATGTACATAAAATATGTATTTCTGTACAACTGTATCTCCCCAAGATATTTTTATGAAGGGAAAAGAAAGCAAGATGCAGAATAATAGTTACAGGAAGGTACTATTAAAAATGTAAAACAAAACCATATGCTTTTAGGGATCAACATATGTGCCATGAATGTAAACGTGTGGTAGAGGCCTACAACATACATTGTCAACAGGAATGACATTGCCCCCATGAGGGCAAATATTAGATCTTGTGAGATGAAAAATATCTCTCTAAAGTTTAACCCTACTTGACAAAATCTCATTGCTTAGTATTTGATTTCTCTCATTAGGCAGAATTTAAATTTAATTAAAATGTTGACCTAGAGAGTCACCTGAAAAGAAAGTCAAGAGACACTGGTCTCGACGGCAGCATGGGGCCTCTCTAGTCACACTTCCTGGGTTTAAGTCTTGGTTCCAACATTTACTAACAGCCTGTGGGAGTGGGGGAATATTCCCCACTTAGTACCTTCATTTCCTTATCTGTAAAATGAGTATAATAATAAAGCCAATGCTGTCGGGTTCTTTTGAGATGACATGAGATAACATGGGTAAAGCTGAGAACAATAACTGGCACATATTGCTCAGTACATTTCAGTATTATTGTCCAGCAAGCTCTCTGGCAGAACCTGGGGCAACAAGAAAAAAGAAGATAAACAAAGTTTAGAAATGGAATGCAAAGCATACGGGTAGGGAGATAAAACAAAATTACAGTGCTGTGCCACAAATTCCATGCTACTCAAGAGGAAAGTACAGCACCCAGAAAAGACTTGAAGCATCAGGGAGGGATTACTGGAGGAAGGTCATCAGGCTGGGAGTTCATCAGTGAGTGTAAGTTATTTCTGGAAAAGGAGAAGAAAGAGCATGCGTGACTGTCAAGTCCCAAGCTGAGAGACAGCAGTATGTTGATGTTGACTGAGGATAGTGCTGTGAGGTTTTAAGCAGTGCTATGCTAAAACTGGCTCCGCCAGCCCACAAAATCCAATTGTTAAATTTTCAGACAGGTTTAAGCTGATCGACTTATGCCTGTAACTTGAAATCAGCCGGGGTGGAGTATTAATACCATGGAAGTTGGCAAACACACTCCGTCACTCCTAAGAACCCATTGTTAAATATTTATTGGCATGCTTCTGGTTGAAGAGAAGATGCATGGATTAGGTTCTAATGTTGGAGAAGATTTTGTAGGGTCTTGTGTCCTTATTTAGGAATTTAACATAAATCTTGTAGAAACCTGTGTAACTTTTGAGTCTTAAACCTGGGTTCAAACCGAAAGTTATGACAATTTTGTTGAATAAGCTCATTAGTCTCAAGCAGGTTAATGAATCCTATTATATGTTGGGAATAGTAATAGCCACTGATAGGTGGGCACTCCCAGGCTCGCTTGGAAGGAGTTACTTATAAACTGGGGGGTTCGGTAATGGGAGGGGGCAGCTTACTCTTCTGGAGGGAGGCAGCCTTTCAGGTCGCATGGTTCCCAGGCTCCCCTGGTAAACGATGGGCCTCCTGATTATCTACATGTCAGTTCTTCACAAGTGATTTGCACAGTCAAATTTTAGTCCAAAGCTGACTTGCCCTTGTCCCCAAGGCTGTATTGACATCTTATCTCCTATTGTAACATTTTCCCAGGTTCAGAGAAGGTAAAAAACAATTTAAATACAGCATCTCCTTAGACAAGGCGTAATAAGGAGTTCACTCAATCAGCTTAGACTGGTATTGTCTGGCACATCAACTTGCATTCTTTCAGGGTGAATTCAGGGACCGTGTAAAGATAAATCCACATTCAAGTGTGAAAGGCCTGATAATCCTTTTTGAAGGCAAAAACAACAATTAAAATTTTTTTTTTTACTTTTGTTTGTGACTCTATTCATTTGGTAACAAAGAGCATTTTTCTAATCAAGGCTGCCTAATACTAGATATAAACTAATTAATATGAACAAATAGCCCTTGATTGTTTGAAACAATAATAGGGAAGAAAGCTTTCATTGTCACTCCTGCTGGGATCGCCATTTAGTTAGTGAAAGATAGGCCTTGTGCTTTGAAGTAAGACAAGTTTGTCTTCTCTGCTTCACTCCTGACTAGACTGTAAGATGGATTTTTGTTTTCTTCTGCTGAGAGAGCACCTTGTTCTTAGAAGCTGGGTGAATACTGAGGCAAAACTGGACTAACAGCAGCAGGAAAACTGTGTTTGCAGCTGATTTATGGTTCTGCAGGCCAGACGCTGATAAAGTTTCCTTACCCGAAGAAAGCTCCAGACAGGAACACGTTCATCATTATGTTCAATTAATGTGTT